AGTTGTTGGCTGCTCGTTCAGGAGCAGCGCTTTTGCCCTGTCGGAATCCTTCGGCTCGTTGCTGAATTTCGCAGACAAAGTGGCAGGTGTGAGGTGGGTGGGAGGTGGGTCCATGCAGACTTGGTCGTGTGTGGAATTTCCGCTGTCCACGGCTACTTTGTTTAGCTTGGCACAGCTGGGAAGGGGAAGGAGAACACAGAGGTTACAGGTCACAGAGTAAAAACGCATGAGGAATCCTTGGGGGAATGGAAGATAGGAGAGAGGTTACCTGAGCGATAACCACCCCCTTGCTTCGTTTTTGTGCCATCTGCCCTTAGCCAGAAGCTCATCCCTTCCCATTACTCCTCCCCCTGCCCCACAGGATCTCTTTAAACCAGATGCAAATCTAACATTCATGTTCAAGTCTAACCCACTCTAGTCAAGAGAGCTCGAGGTTAGAGGGGTTCATTCATCCACACTCAAACCTCCCCACCCCTCGGCCATGTAATCTTGTGTAAGTAATAAGAGAAATAGGGATGCCCTCAAATCTCTGCTCACTAGCAAAAAGTTGCTCCTTTGTCCTGGGGCTGGATTTGGCTAGTTTGTGCCAGAAGAGCGACAGCTTCCATAATATATGGAGATATACCTATCTCATAGAGCTGGAAGGGACCTTGAAAGGTCATCAAGTTGAGTCCAGTCCCCTAACTTCACTAGCAGGACCAAGTACTGTCCCTGACAGATTTTTGCCCCAGATCCCTAAATGGCCCCCTCAAGGATTGAACTCACCACCCTGGGTTTAGCAGGCCAATGCTCAAACCACTGAGCTATCCCTCCCCTGCAAAAAAATGGAATCATAGAATATCAGGGTTGGAAGGGACCTCAGGAAGTCCAACCCCCTGCTCAAACCAGGACCAATCCCCAACTAAAGCCCCAAATTGCCCCCTCAAAGATTGAACTCACAGCCCTGGGTTTAGCAGGCCAATGCTCAAACCACTGAGCTACCCCTCCCACAGCCAGCTTCAGCTCTAGCTCTAGCTCTAGACAGCCGGACAAAAATCTGGGCTTACTCCGTGTGGGGCTTGCAGCGTTCGGTGCTGGAGTGCCGCTCAGAGAAGGTCCCCAAAGGGCATTCTTGGCAGGAGACATCAACTTCTGAGGTGCCTGCAGGAAGAAAAAAAAAAAGCGATCATCGAGCCGTACGCGACGGAGTGAGCCGTGTCGCCAGCACCGTCCCGTGGCCAAAGCCAGAGGAGACTGGCTGGCATGGGTGGGATGCTTACCTCTGACTAGGACTCCAAATCCTGGCTTGCAGACAGCGTGGGAAATGCATCGCGCACAGCTGTTCAGAACGGCAACCTTACAAAACAGCCCTGCTCGGCACTCACACACCCTTCTGGAATTGAAGGAGCAAGGGACTTTCTCCACAAGGTCGTATTCTGAAAGGGGGAATGAGAGAAAATTAGCATGGAGGAGATGCAGGGAGAGGAGAAGAGTTGGAAAGGATAATGAGTGTTCTGTTCAGCGGCAGCTCAAGTCACAAGAGCAGGAGAAGTCTGTGGACCGATGGGCTGGAGTCTGATCAACCAAGCAGGAATCAGACTTGGTCAATAGCTGAATGAGAGACCTCTGGGGAAATCCCAGGTCCCGCAGGAAGTGGCGCGGTGAGATGGTAGGTGGCATTCCCCTCTCTAAGTACTGAGCCAGCACAGCGGGCCATTCTGCTGCTGGAAATGCCGTTCTGAATGAAATGTTATTACTGGGATCCCAACCACTTGTAGGCTGTCAAGAGCTCACTGCACATTTGCAAGATCGGGGTGTTAACTCTCCTGCCTGAGCCAAATTTTAGCTCAGGCAATTGCGTTCCGTCCTCCTAAATTTTCCTGGTAGCTTCTCTTAAACATGCTAAGCTCTCTGTTCTAACCTGGTGGGTAACGTTGTTGTGCATTGTTAAACATCTCTGTGCATCCCCCCAGAGGTAGCTGCAATCCCAGTAAGGCTTGCACTTCAATTCTGCGTCTGCAAAACTCTTTGGGATCCACTGGGGTGAAAAAACACAAGAGATGGGTCCGTACCAGAACCCCAGATCCAGACTTGGGGAGAACCAAGATGCAAATCTGAATTCAGATCCAAGCTCCGTGGTTCGTTCCTCTCTCTAACGTCACGTCATGTGGTGGGACGACTTTTCAAAACTGAACAGAACATCCAAGTCAAGCATTTGGATGCTCAAGTAGGTGCACAACGTAGAAAAGTAAAATAGCCAGACGTGTACTCTCCAAGAGCCCGATTCAAATTCCACCACTGACCCCAAATGCAGCCTTTGGATGTCCTATTGAGATACCCACCCAAATATACAAATGGGACCAGTTTCACGTAATGGGGATACCTTACTGCAGTGCACCTTAACTTGAGAGGTGGCTCTCATCAACCCTGTGCTGCAGCTGGAGGATCAAGGACTAAGATAAGACCGCTTCCCTCGCCAGTCCAGACAGGTAGTGGAAAGGCAGGAAATCAAGACACAATGAAACTGGCCCAGCCCAAACCCAGAGAAGGTCTCGGCATGATGCAAGTGCAGGGGCTAAGCAAAACAGATACCTGGCTTGCACGACACGCAGGCCTCGCAGCGTGGCTTCCCTTGCTCCCTGTTCAGGAAGTGCTCGGGTTCACACTGCCCGCAGTCCCGGTCTGGATCTGTGGGACACTCTTTCCGTTTATGGTAGCCTGAAAGACAGAAAGCAAAATAAGTAAGAAGCCTCTTACCAAGGGCTCGGAGAGAAGCAGAGGGAGAGAATGCTGTGCCTGCCCGGCAGCGCCCTCTACTGGCCAAGCGCCACTCAGACGTGCCAAGCCTCAGTTTCCCTTTCAAATAGGCTCTTCTCTTCCAATAATACCCTGGATTATCATCAGAAATTGTTCCCATCAAAATAAAGGTCTCAGAGTCCAAATTTCATCCTGCCCAGCCCCTACCTGGCTGGAGTCATCTTCTATTCCGCTGCAGGCTGCTTTCTGCTCCAGCCCCCGGCTCTCCTCCTTGGAGCTGGGGGTGTTGAGCCTCAACTAGCTTCTTCCTCCGGCTGGCTCTTTGCCCCAGTCGGGTCCTTCACTCTCCCCCAGGAGCATTCCCCTGCAGATCTCCCCCAGCCACTGGCTCCACTCCTTTTGAGGGAGGATAGTGTGTGTGTGTGTGTATATATATAGATTTCCCTCCCAGAGCTTGTCCTGATTGGCTGAGAGAGGAGTCCTGCCCCGCCCACTCCACAAAGCTCCTGATCCCAGGCCCTTAAAGAAACAGAAGCCTGGGTTTTCCCCAAGCCTTAACTATCTCCTCTGAGGCCATCTTCCTCTCCCCCAGTACCTAGCTCTGCCTTTCCTGGGTCTTCATCCGCTCTTAAAAAGTCCAAGGACTTAAAGAGACACAGCACAGAACAGGTGTTGACTGACCACTAGTGCTTACTGCCCTTTAGGGGACAGTCACCCTGTTATACGGCCGAAGGCTCCTCAGTCCATGCGGTCACCTCCCACACAATACTAGGCTGGATCTGCTCTCTGCACCGGTCACCCGGGCTGCAGTAATGCTATTCCAGGGTGCAGGGCTTGGGATCGTTGCGCAGGGAGGTTACAAATGGGAAGACAGAGGTGGCTGGCAGGTCTGCAGGGAAGTGCCCCACTGCCACGCAGATTCCTCAGACAATTGCTCCTCGCTGGCTCCTTCAGGTCTATGGTAGCAACCCCCAGGGCCGGTGCTCAGCGTTTGACTGCCCTAGATATCTGCTTTCCTCTCGACTGCCGCCAGCACCTCTGGGATGCTGGTGCAAACGGGAGCTTGAAGGGGCAGAGGTGCGCCCTCAAAAGCTGTGCTGGGGCGTGGAAGGAGGCCAAGCAGGGGTGGCTGGGCCAGAGGCACCTCTAAAAGGTCAGTATTCTAAGCAGCTGGGTACGCGGGCTAACGAAGGCCCTGGCTATACCATGGAGATCAGAAGGGCTGCAGAAAGCTTGACCCCAGGAGTTGCTGGGAGGTGGGTAATCACGACCACAGAGGAAGGCACAGTGGCAGCAGCAGATGCACAATGAGAAATCCCAGCAGCAGCGCGGGAATGGGGCACAGGGTGGGTGAGAAAGACTCCAGGAAAACGGCCCACCTCTTTCTGCATAACGCAACCCTCCGGGCTAACGACTCGGAGGAAAACAACACACTCGCTAAACGTTCTGGCAAGCCCAGCGTGGGCGGCGCAGGTGACAGCATCAGTGCTATATTTAGGTGACTAAATGCCACCAGACAACTCCCAGCTACGTGGCTCCCACCTCCCACTGTCTGAAACCAGTCTCACTAGGGTGGCAACCACTGCGATGCCGGTGCACAGGCCTGCAACATGGTCCTTTTAAAAAAAAATAGCTACTCCCTTTAGCGACCAGCTGTGTCAGGAATTGAGGCTGAAATAATGCACTGCAGAGGGCAGGCGGAGTGTGGCTGTGGAACATCTGACCAGCAGCCCAGGGAGTAAACACTGCTGGCCTATTCTGGGATTCTGCTGGGAGGAATGGTGGTCTGGTCTAGTGGACAGGTTCAGGGATGCAGGCGTGGAGCTGAGGTTGGGGGGACTGGGACTGGCGTGAGCAGCTAAGGGAGAACGGCACAGACAACCTTAATTCTGGCATTTCCTAACTTTTTTGGGCTTGATTTTGCAACCTTAATATCTGTTTAGTGTCATTTTTGCTATGTAGTACAGCAGGGGCAGGCAACCTATGGCACGTGTGCTGAAGGCGGCACGTGAGCTGATTTTCAGTG